AGTGGCATCTAATCTGCAGAACATGAATAATCAGTGGCATCTATGTGCCACATGTTTAGTGTTCACGCCATACAACACATTTGGAATTTACAGGAGTAAATTTACACTTGCGAAAAAATCTACTTACGAACAGGCCTCAGGAAGCTAACTGGTTCGTAAGTAGAGGAGTCCCTGTACAATGAGCTGCTCATAGCTAATGCAGCGCACGTTAAAGTCACGCATGTGAGCGTCTGTGATGTGGATCTCCGTGTGAGTCTATGATAGGTCTCTAAGTGTGTCTATAATGCGTCTCTGTGTGAGTCTATGATAGGTCTCTGTGTCTGTCTATGATGGGTCTCTGTGTGTGTCTATGATAGGTCTCTGTGTGCGTCTATGATGGATCTCTGTGTGTGTCTATGATGGGTCTCTAAGTGTGTCTGTCAATGATGGGTCTCTGTGTGTGTCTATGATGGATCTCTGTGTGTGTCTATGATAGGTCTCTGTGTGTGTCTATGATAGGTCGCTGTGTGAGTCTATGATGGGTCTCTGTGTGTGTCTATGATGAATCTCCGTGGGGTTCTATGATAGGTCTCTGTGTGAGTCTATGATGGATGTCTTTGTGTGTGTCTATGATGGATCTCTGTGTGTGTCGATGATGGGTCTCTGTGTGTGTCTATTATGGGTCTCTGTGTGAGTCTATGATAGGTCTCTGTGTGTGTCTATGATAGGCCTATGTGTGTGTCTATGATGGGTCTCTGTGTGTGTCTATGATGGGTCTCTGTGTGAGTCTATGATAGGTCTCTGTGTGTGTCAATGATGGGTCTCTGTGTGTGTCTATGATGGGTGTCTGTGTGTGTCTATGATGGGTCTCTGTGTGAGTCTATGATGGGTCTCTGTGTGTGTCTATGATAGGTTTATGTGTGTGTCTATGATGGGTCTCTGTGTGTGTCTATGATGGGTCTCTGCGTGTGTCTATAATGGGTCACTGTGTGCGTCTATGATCAGCCTCCGTGTGAGTCTCGATTCACCGATTACCATTCATGAGCTCGGGAGTTCTACATCAAGCTGCTTTTGTTCGAACGTTTCCTGTTGTCGACGCGGTCGATAATATTCCCGTGACGATTTGACTCCCCCCTCCCCCCAACTTATCAATTCGAATAACCGCCTCGATAATCGACCGCTCTTTAATTATTTATTAATTGGAATGGCCACCGCTTTTTTTTAGTTTTGCTGCGAATATTTTCGGTGTGTCAAGTGGCGACGCAGACTTAGTTTTTGTTAGTTTGTTTGGTTGCTACGATTTCGAATTAGCTTTCGTTGCTTCGCCGACTTTTTTTTTGCTTTGTTCTGCTTTTGGTTGTTGCGGTGTGAGCACTACGTCCCCTCTGTCCACCCCCTTCGAAGGTCGCCTCTAACAAATGAGATTTCTATCCTTCGGGTCTCTTGAGCTGTCAGCTGGTTGAACTAATAAACTTTTACACGTATCTACGGGTCCCCTTTTTTATTGCAACAATTACTGGTGTATATTTTTTTTTTTACATCTTAACACCGGATGTATTATTACCATAGAGGGTAACGCCATTTCTAATCGTTTCTTTTTATTATCTTAAACTGGCAAATAATGGCAGCAAAAAAAAAGAAGTCCCGTAGAAAAAACTGCTTAAACCCGAGCAATGGATGCTTTGCAGTTTGCATTGTCCTCGTGCTGTCCACCCTTTGGTGTCCTGTGGTCTGTAGCATCGGTGAGACAAGGCCATTAATTAAGCTGCAGTGCCAGACTATCCTAGTAGCAAACGCAGCACGTGCTACCGGGCCCCGCACTTTCAAGGGCCCCGCGCCAAATGCTTTCAAGCTATCAATTTCGCTTCAGTGATTCTGCACTTGCTCTATTACTATAGTACTGTACCGCCTTCAACTTTTATGAACGACTGGGTGTTTAAGGTTAGCGATGTGTCATATCATAGCAAATGACAAAAATACAATTACTTGCATCTGTGTAATCTCAGTTGAGTAATCTGCGGAATCATTACGAATCCTCCTCACTCTCTCTCTACGACACTATTCTTCACTCAATTTCAGAGGGGGCGGGGGGGGGAGGGTGGTCGGGTGGCGGAGGCACTTTCGCCGATAAGACATCGGTGAGAGGGCCGCCACACATTTGAAACCGTTGGGGTTTGACATCACGATGGGGGGTGGTGTTTGAACGTGTTCTGTGTCGTCGGGGGCAGCACTAAAGGGGCACCAGGGTCCGAGAGTGGTCCCGCGGGGCCTTGCAATCAACGACACTTGCTCTGCAGGGAACGAAGCTGTTGGTATTGCGACTGTCACCGTTGCCATGGTCGCCGCTTATATCTACTCGTATTGAACTTCGTGGCCAACCGTGCCAATCGGAGGCGCTAAGGGGGGGGGGGGGGGGGCGATCACGTTGACGCCTTCTGAATGCAACCACGTGCCTCTTCACGAAGTCCGCGCAATTCGTCGAGGCGGGGGGCGAGTCACACGAATTGAAGGTGGACCGTCGTCGATAACGGAGCGCCGACCCAGGGACGTGATGCGTTACCAGCGACCCGCGTCGCATCTCGCATCATCTCCGCACCACCTCTGAATGAACAAACCGCACAGCAATCAATTGGCTCAATTAATACCCCCCCCACGCGCCCACCCCCCCACGCGCCCCCCCACGCCCCCCCCACGCACCACCCCCCCCCCCCCCCCCAGAAACTATATGATCCCCACATCCCAACCCCTAATTTCCTGCCAAGTTCCCAATGCGTGGTGGACATCACCACACAGGTTGACACGATTCTTGGCAGATCGTCCGCAGCTCCCCCCCCCTCCCCTCACTCACTCCTCCGCCTCGCCCCTCCCCCATTGTGCAAATAAAAAAGTAGTGTGGTTGTGTTGCTGTGTGGATGTTTACGCGTTCTAGCCAGTCGCACATCTCCATCACTCCGATTCCAAATACAAAAGATCCCCCCGCCCCAGTGTAGCCTTAGCAGACTGTCGGGGCAAGTGCCGTTAGCGAGTGGCACCTAGGAAGGCCGGCACGGTGGCACACGAGCGGGTTAGGTGGCCAGAACCACACGCGCCCGACCGACCGCCTTTGTCTCACCGGCACCACGTGCTCACTTGAGGCTGTGTCGAAGTGGTGGGGGGAGGGGGGCAGGACCGGTTCAGACAATCATCGCTGCCGGAGTTGGTGGCGGCCGTGAGCGAGAATCGAATTCGGGTCGCCGGGGGTTCGGAGCGCAACACGCTAACCGCTGCGCCACCGCTCCCCACCACCCCCGCCGCCTCCACCAGGAGGAGGAACTCGCAGCGTGGTGGGTGGCGTTGTGTGGGGATCGTTCCAGGAGTGGTGGTTTACTGCTAGTTGGTGGCTTTTGCTAAACATCGAGTCGCGCTCATGCTGGATCCTATTCTATATTTGTAGAGCGCATTTGCTTAAGGCGCTTAACGTCGTTTTAACTGGTAAAAAAAGGATGATTGAGATGGCGGGGGACGTGCAAGGGCTGCGAGGGGTGGGTCGCCGCGCTAGAGGGGTCGGTGAGGGGTAGGGGAGGGACGGGAAAGAAATGGAGGGGAGAGGGGAGGGGAGAGGGAGAAGAGAATGGGCGATGGAGAAGAGGTGGAGCTTAAAGAGAGGAACGGAAGGAGGTTAAGGGGGGGCCGCTCAATGTACAGGAGAAGTGTGAAGTCCATGGGCAGTGTTGAGTCTATGGGTAGTGTTGAGTCTATGGGCAGTGTTGAGTCTATGGGCAGTGTTGAGTCTATGAGTGTTGTTGAGTCTATGGGTAGTGTTGAGTCTATCGGCAGTGTTGAGTCTATGGGCAGTGTTGAGTCTATGGTGCAGTGTTGAGTCTATGGTGCAGTGTTGAGTCTATGGTGCAGTGTTGAGTCTATGGGTGTTGTTGAGTCTATGGCAGTGTTGAGTCTATGGGCAGTGTTGAGTCTCTGGGCAGTGTTGAGTCTATGGTGCAGTGTTGAGTCTATGGGCAGTGTTGAGTCTATGGGCAGTGTTGAGTCTATGGGCAGTGTTGAGTCTATGCGCAGTGTTGAGTCTATGGGCAGTGTTGAGTCTATGGTGCAGTGTTGAGTCTATGGGTAGTGTTGAGTCTATGGGCAGTGTTGAGTCTATGGGCAGTGTTGAGTCTATGGGCAGTGTTGAGTCTATGAGCAGTGTTGAGTCTATGGGCAGTGTTAAGTCTCTGGGCAGTGTTGAGTCTATGGTGCAGTGTTGAGTCTATGGGCAGTGTTGAGTCTATGGGCAGTGTTGAGTCTATGGTGCAGTGTTGAGTCTATGGGCAGTGTTGAGTCTATGGGTAGTGTTGAGTCTATGGGCAGTGTTGAGTCTATGGTGCAGTGTTGAGTCTATGGTGCAGTGTTGAGTCTATGGACAGTGTTGAGTCTGTGGTGCAGTGTGATTCTGTGGTGCAGTGTTGCTCAATGTACAGATGCAAGTTGATTCCAGTGGAGGGGTGCAAGGGTGGGGGGGGGGGGGGGTTGGGCAAGAAGGGCAGCATCGCTAATGACTCAAGAGAGAGAGAGATCTTGACAAGGCAAGGCTGAGAATCGCGCGGGCAAGGCTGGCAGAGGGACGTGCACCTGGCCGCCGAAAACTCCACGTGCAGAACGCCAGAGGCGTCGTGCCGCCGGTGATGGGGGGGGGGGGGAGGACATCAGCGAGGGGGCCCTGGCTCGGACGAAGTAACGGGGACACCAAGAAATCGCCCATCTCGTCCAGGAGCAGGAACCATCATCACGCGAATTCCGGTCGCCCCTGCAGCCGCAGCAGCAGCGGCGGCGGCGGCGGCTTTTGGCCGACCATCAAACGAAGACTGCGGTCGCCGCGTGGCGCGCTTTAGGATGCGCTTCTGACGGCCGTCTGGAACGCTCTTCCTTCTCCTGGAGCTGTGCACTTTTCAGAAAAGCTTTTTTTTTTGCGTGTTAGTTTGTCGTCCCTCCCCCCTTCCCCCGCCCCTCCGACCACCCCCCCCCCCCCCCCCCCAGACAGACGACAGCCGCCACCACCGCACAGAGAAGGGAGGAGCGGTGAGACTCCTCTCACGAGTGCGAACGCCGCGTGGGTTTGCAGGTCCACGAGAGATGGCGGTGGTCGCGGTGATGGCACGGTCAGGTGGGGGGGGGGGGAGGGTGGCGGCTTGGGGAGGCTTTCATCCAGCGGTAGGTAGAACGTGACTCTCGCTAACAACAACAACAACTTCAGAGTAGGAGGAGACGAGGACGACGGCGACGATGATTTTAACAATGAGAGAAAATTTGACAATAAAATGAAGGTGAATGTTCGTGAAAACCAGCGAACAAATTCGCACCGAGATGCGGTCACTTCCGCCGCTTCTCCTCCTTGTCTCCGTTCCCGATCTTGCTCTGCGGGCTCCCTCCACCCTGCTGCTGCTGCTGTGGGCTGTTCAGGTACAGCTTGTCCGTGGCTTTGAGGGCCTCCGTGAGGTAGTTCTGGAAGGCCGTGAGCGCCGCACAGATGGCCGGGCCGCCGAAGCCGTGCGTGATGAGGCTGAAGTGAGACAGGGCCGCTTGAACGCCGGGCTCCAGGATCGGCGGGGGCCTCGCGTTGCCCAGCGGCGTCCGGTCCTGGGACATCAGCTCCGTAAACTCCTTGCAGATTTGTCTAAGGGGTTAAGGGTTGGAGTCCGGGATAGAGGGTGGAGGGTGGGGGTTAGCAGGGTCACGGTTAAAAGAAGGATTTTCCAAGCGAAAGTATTCAGAATCAGAAGTTTATTTTGCAGGTAAACAATAATAAATGATGATGATTGATAGCAAACATTGTCAATCCGCTGTGGGGGGTTGTTTGACAAACCTGTGGGGACGGCCACAGTGGTGAGATGTTAACTACCTCGCCTGGTATACAGGAGGTCGTGGGTTAAATCCCGACCCTGACGCCTGTTGTATATTTAGAGTTTGTGTGTCTCTCTCCCCGTGGTCGCGTGGATTTTTCTCCGGGTCCTCCGGTTTTTTCCCACCTCTACAATTAGAATCAACGTCACCATGCGAGTATTGGACTTCAATAAACTTCCACGTGATAATGAACTTCCTTGAGCGATCATTTATGATAGCCAGGTCGCTTCTCAAATCGAGCAACATGGTTCAGTGGGCCTCATCGGATAAAATAAAATAAAACATGTAATTATCTTCTTTGGTTCTTTCAGTAAAGTCACGTAGAATGAGAATATAATAATAAATTGATAAAATAAAATAACACAATAATATTCTCACGACGTTTCGGCCACAACACAAGCGGCCTTCATCAGGTGAAGGGACGAGACTGTCTGGTAGGACAGCGCTGGAGTGAAAAAGCTACGCTCAGATCGCGACCTTTAAACTGTGTGAGAAGAAACAAAGCGCCTTAGAGTCGCGGCATCTCTTCAGAAAGGTGAGAGACTCGATTAGTTGAGCCTTCTTATCCCGGAGTCTGTTGAATGATTTTAAGGTTGTGTGGAATCCCTCTCCGTAGAGGCGGTTAAATTTCGATTTAAAGCTTGCAGTCACGAAAGCTTCAAATCAAAATGTTTATAGAGCACCTCTTTCACTCAAGGCGCTTGACGTAGTTAACACACGGTGACATAATGGAATGATTTCGATGGCAGGGGAGTGCAAGGGTTGAGGAATTAGTGACCGTGGGGTAATGTGGGATTAGGAAAGAGCTGTAGGGGAGGGATGGGAAGGAGCGGAGGGGCGGGAAGAGAATGGCGACTTTGGACGATCGCTGTTAGCGAGCACCTATTAAGGGCTGCTCGCTGATGCTCATACACTAGCACCAGGCACTCGTGTAAGGCGGTCTAGTGGGGGTTGTGGGCCGGTTCAGGCATCAGTCGCTACAGATGTTGGCCGTGGCCGGGATTCGAACTCAGATAGCCGGGTGCATAGGAAGGGTTTGCTAACCACTGTGCCCCTGCTCGACCCAATACACACGTACTGTGTACACATAGGCACGTGCATACATACGCACACATAAACATCACAAATACATGTACACACATAGAGTATACACATATAACAGAGATGAAGATTCCCAATATAGCTCTAAATCATCCACACACTCATTCCGACACTCACTCAACCTATTTAACTATTAAATTTTGTAACTATTTTTATTTTATTTTACCAGGTAAGGCCCACTCAGCTATACAGCTCTTTTTAAGAAGCGACCTGGCCACAGATGAAAGCTCAGGAAAGTGGCTTAAGTGGAAATTTATAACAGCCAAACACTCTAAAGGCATGTTTCTAAATACTTCTAAACTACAAGGTCACTCACTAAACCACCCAATCACTCATCTATCAACCCACTCACTAAACCACCCACTCACTCACTCATCCACCCACTCACTCACTCACTCATCCACCCACTCACTCAACCACCCACTCACTCACTCATCCATCCATCCACCCACTCACTCAACCAACCACTCACTCACTCATCCATCCACCCACTCACTCAACCACCCACCCACTCACTCAACCACCCACTCACTCACTCAACCACCCACTCACTCACTCATTAAAGCACCCACTCACTCACTCATCCACCCACTCACTCACTCATCCACCCACTCACTCACTCAACCACCCACTCACTCACTCATCCATCCACCCACTCACTCAACCACCCACTCACTCAACCACCCACTCACTTACTCAACTACCCACTCACTCACTCAAACACCCACTCACTCACTCAACCACCCACTCACTCACTCAACCGCCCACTCACCACGTTGCAGATTACACCGCGTCTCTTTCTACTTCTTCACGAATCAAGTTTAGATTTCCCTCCTATTATCGTCTCTGTCCCGCCTCCCCCAATCTCTCACTACAATATGCGGCCCCAATTCACGACACGCGTATTAACCCTTGCCCATTACAACGCTGTGAATACGGCTCGTGCTGGTTGTTGCTGGCTGTTTGACAATGTTGGGCCACTGGGACCTGCGTTTAGTAACTGTGCTTTAAACAACAACAACAACAAAACATCATAAGGAAACAAACACATTCAACAGATAAATAAGTCAATGAATCATTGTTAATTGCATAACACAAAATAAGTGATGACAAGAGAAGCGAGGATGGTGTTAATCTCACAGATCCCAAGAACGTGACCCCTGGGATGGGGGGAGGGGGCAATAGGTGTGGGTCTGGTGAAGACATTTTTATCCCTTCATTTAAAAATCAAATCCATTCACACGTACAGCATAGAATACATCAACAATACATTGCCCAAAAGACGGGGCAGGCTGAGACACAATGACACAGATCCCCCGTATAACCTGGACAGACCGTTGGGGCAAGTGCCGCTAGCGAGGAGCACCTATTAAGGCCGGCACGGCACACGACAGGGTGGGTGGGTTGCCAGCACCACGCCCAGCCGCATTTGTTTCCAATAGTAGCGCTGTTCATACACACCGCACCGGGGACTCATTTGTGGCTGAGCCGACCTTGGGGAGGCCCAGGACCTGTTCAGATAATCGTCACTGGCGACGTTGGTGGTGGCCGTGAGCGGGAATCGAACCCGGGTCGCCAGGTTCATAGCGCAGCGCGCTAACCGCTACACTATCGCTCCCCAACAACAACAACCGCCATTCGCCATGGCGCTTGTGCCAGGCTAAGTGCTCGTGAAGTGTCGAACGCCCGCCGGCGGCAGGAGGTCACAGGGCAGACTCAGCAGGTGCCACGGGTCAACTGACCGAGACGACTGGACTGATGCACCACCTGTGCCAGCCTACTGTGCCAACTTGCTGTGCTTTAGTCACCCGGCGCTCCGCGCACACACGAAATGGCATTCTCGTCTGGAGCTGCCCACGGCAAGCAATACGTTTGAGGAGCTAAATGCCAAACACACTGAAATTAAATAATTCAATTCGCAGTTTGTCTAAATCAGGCTAAATTGTAGACTCAATGCCACCCGGAGTGAGAGCGAGGGAGAGAGAGAGAAGGGTGGGTGGTGGGGTGGGAGAGATATGGTGGGGGAGTATTTCCACACAAAAAAAAGCAGCATCATCATCGCAGTTTTTTTGGCACGAACAACAAGTCAGGCAAGGTGCCGCTGTCAGCGATAATATATGCGGCGATAGCTCACACGCACGCAGCCAGCAATTGCATGAGACGAGTGTGTGTGTTTGCGTGTTGAGCCGGGGGGAGCGGTGGTGCAGCGGTTAGCGCGCTGCGCTACGAACCCCGCCCACCCGAATTTGATTCACGCTCACGGACCACCAACCCGTGACGATTATCTGAACCGGTTCTGGGCCACCGCCCCCCCCCCCCCCCCCCACCGCTTCTAGGTCGACTCGGCCTCAAATGAGTACCTGTTGCGGTGTGTAAACATCGCCACTGGGGAGACACAGGGCGTGGTGCTGGCCACCGACACTTTCATGTGCCGTGCCGGCCTCCATAGGCGCTCGCTAATAGTACTCGTCCCAAACGTCTGTTGAGGCTACACGTGGGATCTCAGTCTTGAGTGTGCCACTAGGGAGACAAAGACGGCCGGGCATGATGATGGCCACCCACGCCCTTCATGTGCCGTGGCTGCACGTTAACAGAAGTCTGTTCAGGCTATTCGGGGGATCTTTGCCTCTGTCTTGGATACGAACACGCCACGTTACTGCGACCCCGCTGCTCTTTAAGAAACGCATTCACAGCACCCCCCCCCCCCCCCCATCCAGCCAATTTGCAAGGCCATTAGCTCAGCCAGCGCTATTTGGGAGTTTGAGTGCAATGCAGCGTGGGGGGGGGGGGGTGAGCGGTAGTGTCGGGGTTAGCGCGCTGTGCCGCACTACGGACCCGGCCAACCGAGTTCGATTCCCGCTCACGGCCAACAGCGGTGACGGGCATCTGGACCGCTTCTGGGTCTCCCCTAGGTCGACTCAGCCTCAAATGAGTGCCTGGTGGCGGTGTGCAAAACATCGCCACTGGAGAGACAAAGACGGCCGGGCGTGGTTGCTGGCCACCCACGGGGGATTTTTGTTTTTAATGGGGTTTTTTTGGGGGGGGGAGCGGTAGTGTAGTGGTTAGCTTTGAACTGCCCCACGAACGCGGCGACGCAAGTTCGATTCCAGTCCACGGATCAATAAACAGTGGCGCATATTTTAACCGCTCTCGGGGGCAGGTGATGTGTTCGATGGCTCCGCTAGGTCGACTCAGCCTTAAATGGCGCGGTGTGTTATGACACATCAGCATTGTGGAGACAGAGGGGGACGGGCATGGTTCGAACCACACCACCCGCTCGTGTGCCAAATCCGCCCTAACAGCACTTGCCCTAACAGTATGTTAAAGGCTGTACGGGGGATCTTTGTCTTTGGAGTAAGGGGACGAGGTGGGGGCATCTGGGAGAGAGAGGGGGGAGGTTAAATGGGAGCACTGGGTGGCGGTTGTGGTTGATCGCAAGCAACGTAGTGGGATATAAGATTAAACTAGACACACGCAACGCGTTCAAGCGTGCGCACACACGTAGGTTTGAAACGCTACACGAGGGGGTGGGTGGCCAACACCACACCCAGCCGCCTTTATCTCCCTAGTGGCGACGTTTACACACCGCAGCAGCTACTCATTTGAGACCGAGTCGACCTATGGGGGTTCTCTTTTCAAGTTGATTCGCCCTAGCGGAGGTCCAAGACCGGTTCAGATCATCGTCACTGGTGGTGACCATGAGCGGGAATCGAACTCAGGTCCGTCGGGCGCCCAGCGTAGCGCGCTAACCGATGCGCCACCGCTCTCGCTATTAACAAACAAACGCACACGCGCGCACACACGCGCGCGCAGGCGTACGAAATGGCGTGCCCTTTAAGAAACACTCACAGGCTCCCTCCCAGCCAATTTGCAAGGTCATTAACTTAGCGCTTACTTGGGAGTTTGACTGCCTGTGGGGGAGGGGGGTTAAAAAGAGAGGTGGTGTGGCTAAAGGTGGGGAGGGGGGGAGAGGTGATGGGAACGGAATGGCGTGGCTGTTGTGGTCCTGGTGGGAGTGGTGGCCGGTGAGAGTCGATCGCGAGCGATGCTGAGGTCAACAGAGGGTGAACAATGAGAAGTGGTGTAACTAGGAGCGTACACAAAGACACAGATCCCCCGTGCAGCAGGCGGATGAGGGCAAGTGCAGCGCCACGCCCGGCCACCTTGTGTCTCCCGAGTGGCGGTGATTTGACATCGCACCCGGCACTCATTTGAGGCTGAGTCGACGTAGGGGAGGCCCAGGATCGGTTCAGTCAGATAAACCTCACTGGTGCTGTTGGTCGTGATCGGGAATCGAACTCGTGGCGACTCTAATCGGTGCGCTAACCACTGCTCCACCGCTACCCACACAAACGAGAAAGACGACCCGTATAGCCTGAACAGCACGGCACACGAGTGGGTGGGTGGACAACACCACACCCGGCCGCCTTTGTCTCCCCAGTGGCGATTTTACGCACCGCGCCAGGTACTGATTTGAGCTGAGTCGAATATATCGCCAGGTTCGTAGCGCAGCGCTAACCGCTACACTACCGCTCCCCACACACACACACATGCACACACACACACACGTGCACTAACCACGCGTCCCGATGTGACGAGCACGCTGTGTATTCTAATGGGACCCTCCTAACGCCGCCTGTTAATGAGGGCTTTGCGTTAACATCACGTGCATTTAAAACAAACACACACGCACACAGCGATGTGACGACGTGTTAGATTTGTAAACAAATCATTCCCGGGTCTTCCACCCACACCCCCTCTCCCCCCGTATTTGCAGCCTGTTTACTTATTTACTTATTTATCCACAAATGTGTTAATTTACTTACTTGCGCACATGCTAATTATGCGAAGGGGTAGGGGGGTTAAGGCATTCGGGTTATAGTGCCGGATTAAGCTAGTGCGGCGCCTGTAGCATGTGTTATAAAGGGGCCCTAAATTTTAAACAACACGTAAATATTAAAACACACATTTTTTACTTGCATAGTAAAGTATTTTTTTAATTTGCTATACAGCCAGATAATTCGACAAATCGTTAACCTTAAACACCCAGTCGTTCGTAAAAGGCGGTATAGTACTATAGTAATAGAGCAAGTGCAGAATCACTGAACCGGAAAGCATTTAGCGTTGGGGCCCTTGAAAGTGCGGAGCCCGTAGCTACTACATATGTAGCTACACATGTATCTACTTTTACTACTAAGAGAATCCGGCACTGGTTATACCATTGTTGCTTTTGTGCAGATTTCTATTTGATGCAATGATCCGACTCGTGGTTTCGTTTCGTCGATTTTTGTCATTCGTGGTGACGCCGGGCGAGGTGTGTGTGGGGTCACTCTCCCCTGGTCTCCTGTGTTCCCACGTGGTCAAAGAAGATGACCTTGAACCTTGAGTTCAACACCGGGTCTGGGCCTCCGAGCGCTAATGTCGATATCAGAATGAGGGTTATTCGTGGCGTTTGGGTAGATGTACGGTCATGAGTGTCGAGATAGACGTCAGGATAGAGTAATATAGTTCATGTTTGGCTTAGGGTTAGAGTTAAGGATATGGGTATATCCTTAGCTCTTTCGGTAAAGTCACGTTGAAGGGAAACAATAAAATATATATAAAGCAATAAAAATTATCACGACGTTTCGACCATAACACAAACGGTCGTCATCAGGTGTGTCGGTTTGCATTAATTTATTTATTTTCTAAACGGCGCATTTATTTATTTAAAAACGCCAGCGCCACGGGCAGCGATTTGGCAGTTTATTTAGAAGGACTAGTCCATCTATGTTCTGAAAAGAGGAGGGGGGAGACGAAAAATTAATGTATGCTGTCTGAAAGCCACTGTAAGCGTGAACAATCAATTAAGACCTGAAATGGTTTATCAAATCTTTCCAATGATTGCTAAGCCAGAATCCATCTTCTCGGTTGAAATTGTCTCTGTGCTTGTATATGTGGTAGGGGTGAGGTTAGTGGTAGGGGTAGAGGTAAGGTTAGTGGTAGGGGTGAGGTTAGTGGTAGGGGTAAGAGGTAAGGTTAGTGGTAGGGGTAAGGTTAGTGGTAGGGGTAGAGGTAAGGTTAGTGGTAGGGGTAGAGGTAAGGTTAGTGGTAGGGGTGAGGTTAGTGGTAGGGGTGAGGTTAGTGGTAGGGGTGAGGTTAGTGGTAGGGGTAAGAGGTAAGGTTAGTGGTAGGGGTAGAGGTAAGGTTAGTGGTAGGGGTAAGAGGTAAGGTTAGTGGTAGGGGCAAGGTTAGTGGTAGGGGTGAGGTGAGTGGTAGGGGTAGAGGTAAGGTTAGTGGTAGGGGTAAGAGGTAAGGTTAGTGGTAGGGGTGAGGTTAGTGGTAGGGGTGAGGTTAGTGGTAGGGGTGAGGTTAGTGGTAGGGGTGAGGTTAGTGGTAGGGGTAAAGGTAAGGTTAGTGGTAGGGGTAAGAGGTAAGGTTAGTGGTAGGGGTGAGGTTAGTGGTAGGGGTAGAGGTAAGGTTAGTGGTAGGGGTGAGGTTAGTGGTAGGGGTAAGAGGTAAGGTTAGTGGTAGGGGTGAGGTTAGTGGTAGGGGTGAGGTTAGTGGTAGGGGTGAGGTTAGTGGTAGGGGTGAGGTTAGTGGTAGGGGTGAGGTTAGTGGTAGGGGTGAGGTTAGTGGTAGGGGTGAGGTTAGTGGTAGGGGTGAGGTGAGTGGTAGGGGTAGAGGTAAGGTTAGTGGTAGGGGTAAGGTTAGTGGTAGGGGTGGAGGTAAGGTTAGTGGTAGGGGTAAGAGGTAAGGTTAGTGGTAGGGGTGAGGTTAGTGGTAGGGGTAGAGGTAAGGTTAGTGGTAGGGTGAGGTTAGTGGTAGGGGTGAGGTTAGTGGTAGGGGTGAGGTTAGTGGTATGGGTGAGGTTAGTGGTAGGGGTGAGGTTAGTGGTAGGGGTAAGAGGTAAGGTTAGTGGTAGGGTGAGGTTAGTGGTAGGGGTGAGGTTAGTGGTAGGGGTGAGGTTAGTGGTATGGGTGAGGTTAGTGGTAGGGGTGAGGTTAGTGGTAGGGGTAGAGGTAAGGTTAGTGGTAGGGGTGAGGTTAGTGGTAGGGGTGAGGTTAGTGGTAGGGGTGAGGTTAGTGGTAGGGGTGAGGTTAGTGGTAGGGGTGAGGTTAGTGGTAGGGGTGAGGTTAGTGGTAGGGGTGAGGTTAGTGGTAGGGGTGAGGTTAGTGGTAGGGGTGAGGTTAGTGGTAGGGGTGAGGTCAGGGTTCAGGGGAAGAGTTATCCATTGGGGGGTAACTCGCTTCAGGGTAACTGACCGAGTCAGAGCGGTTTGGGTGGGGGGGGCTGAGAGACGGGGGGATGTGGGGCCGGGGCTGACGCGGGCAGACTGCCGATGGGGGATGAAAGTCGCCGCGCGGGGGGGTCCTGGTGGGGTGGGGGGGGGTCCGGGGGGACGGGGGGTGGGGGCCGCAGCACCCACTTGGTGGCGAGCAGCATGCTCTTCCGCCCGTGCAGGTCTCCGGGGTCGGTGTTCTGCCGCGTGAGGTACTCGGCGGCCGCCTTGGCGGGGAACTCCGTCTCGCTCACGTAGCCGAAGTCTCTCGCCAGGTGGATCGCCTCGCCTGCGGCGCCACACGCGGACGACGACGACGATGACGACGACGACGATGATGACGACGATGATGACGACGATGATGATGATGACGACGACGATGATGATGATGATGATGACAACGATGATGATGATAATGACGATGATGATGACGACGATGATGACGATGATGACGACGATGATGATGATGATGATGACGACGATGATGACGACGATGATGATGATGACGACGACGATGATGATGACGACGATGATGACGACAATGATGACGACGACGATGATTATGACAAAATTCGGGGGGGGGAGGGTGAGTGGGTGGGAGAGACAAAGACGGTCCAGGGGTCAGATCGAGCAGCGTCGGCAAATTGTAAAGACGGAGGTGGCCGTGATGGTAACATCACCACCATCACTACCAACACCACCATCACCACCACCACAGTGGTTGACGATGTGGCCCACAGTTTGTGTCGCGTGCCACAGTAGCATTACTGTGGCTCGCCTTGAATACATCTCCCGGTGTCTCTTCGTGCCCCTACGTGTCTCAGTGTAACTCTGCGGGCCTCTGCCTCTGCCTCTCTCTCTCTCTGCGTCTCCAGGGGGGGTTACTATACGGTCCATCGTGCTGGCCTGCGTGCCCACAATCGCGACACGTACTGCGGCTTTTGACTCGTGCCCTCACTCCCATGTCCACTAACCTACCACGCACATCAAGCGCGATCACCAACCACACCACGGCCCGTTTGTTGTTGTGACGTTCTGAGCCGCCCTTACTGGACGTCTGTGATTTAAAAACAAAAAAAGCTTCACAGCTCATCGGATTCCTCCAGGATTCATAGATATTCTGATTCTGAACTTATAACGGCAGGAGCAGCAGCAGCAACATCAGCAGCAGCAACATCAGCAGCAGCAACATCAGCAGCAGCAACATCAGCAGCAGCAACATCAGCAGCAGCAGCAGCGAAGGTCGTAAGCGACTGTAGACCCGGGCACGGCATAATCGTGCAGTGCTGTTGGCGCTTGATGCGCCAGGGAAAGCAACGGGGAGAGAGAGAGAGAGAGATGTTGCAGAAGTAGGGAAGGAGAATTATGTGAAACGGTGGCTGGAGCTCGTAGGCAAGGGAAGGGGGGGGGGAGGTGGATAGGAGGAGGAGAGAGGGGCTCGGGGGATATGGGGGTTGAGTGGTGGTGGAGGAGGGGGTGGCGGCGGCGGTGGTGGTGGTGGTGGTGATCAAAATCGTTGCCCAAACACATTCGGTAAACGGGTCGCTCGAGAGTCGTTCGCTCCTCCAAAACTCCTTTAATATTTAAACTGGATTCGTTCGCTCGTGGCTTCTCCCACTCGCGCCCGGCGCAGCCACTTAAGGACGCATCTGTTGCTGGGCACAGATCCAAAGAACACGCGCGCGCGCGCGCACCACACGCACACAAAGACAAATATTCCCCGTGTTGCCTTAACGCAGCGTTGGGACAAGTGCTGTCGACGAGAAGCGCCTATGAAGGTTGCGGCGCTGCACGGGGAGCACTCGACGCCCGCATTTTGTCTCCACGTGGCTGATTTTGTTTTAATAGACGCCTCGGCAGGTTTTGTTTCGTTTAAGGCTGAGTCGACCTAGAGGAGATTCCAGCAACCGGTTAATATTCGTCACTAGTGCGGGCCGTGAGCGGGAAGCGAACTGGGATCGTTGCCGGGTTCGTAGCGGAATGCGTTAACCATTAACACAACAAGACAAAGAGCTCTCGCATAGCCTGCCAGGACGTTTGGGGCAAATGCTGGCAGGCCGGCACAAAAACACGAGGGGGTGGGTGGCCAGCACCATCCCCAGTGGCGATGTGTCCACACTGCACCGGGTACTCAATAAAGGCTGAGTCGACCTGAGGGAGGCCCAAGACTGGTTCAGATAATTATATAATCGTCGTGGCCGTGAGCGGGAGCGCGCTAACCACTGCGCCACCGCTCCCCCACACACACGCGCACTGACACGCAGGCGCGCGTGCGTGTCTGCGATGTTAATACGCAAATGCGGTCCCACGCGACTCGCGGACAAAAAAAACCCAAACAAGTAAACAAAACACGCGCACCAACCTAAACAACACAATCACACGCACGCGGATACATCGCGTCCCAACGTACAAAGACAAAGACCCCCCGTATAACCTTAACAGACTGTAGGGGCAAGTGCTGTTAGCGAGCACCTATAGAGGCCGGCTCGGCACACAAAGGGGGTGGATGTCCAACACCACGCCCGGCCGCCTTTGTCTCCCCAGTGGCGATGTTTACACATCGCACCAGGTACTCATTTTTAGGCTGAGTCGACCTAGGGGAGGCCCAGGTACCGGTTCAGGTAATCGTCACCGGTGTTGGCCGCGAGCGGGAATCGAACTGGGGTCACCGGGTTCGTAGCGCAGCGAAGCGCTAACCGCTACATTACCGCTCCCCACGTACACACAAACACGCGTGCGTGTATGTTTGCGAGCGGTGGCGCAAGTGGTTAGCGCAGGGGATCGGCAAGCGTCGGCTCCTCAAGGACTGCCTCGTGGCGTGATTCGCCACGAGGCATTGCGGCACTTGAAATGCGGTGTATTATTATACTTTCTTTTTGAATCACCAAATTTCGAAATAAAATCGGCATCTGCTTGTTCTCTTGAGGTTTTGCCGAATCGCTGGGTTGTAACGCAGTGCGCTCCGAACCCGGCGACTCGAATTCGATTCTCGCTCACGCCTAAGGTCGGTGACGGGTTTAACACGTGGCAGGCTTCCACGACCCGAAATAATCCACAATAGAGGTTTGTATTGGGGGGTTAGATCGAGTAAATATATAAATGTTGTGTCGTTCAAACCCGCCACCACCCGACACAGAACGTGTCGAATTGCGAAATGGAACGAGCGGGTGACGAATTGGCCACGTTCTGTTTACGTGATCAACCCTTATCACGCGAACTAACCCAAAAACAAAACTCTATTATGGATCCACGACGGTCTTTTTTAATTATCTAAACTCGGCACCGGGAGCCTTTCCGTAGATCGACTCGACCATCAAACGAGCATCGGGCAACTTCCAGGTCTCTGCTCGCCAAACCCGGAGCTGGCCACGTGCGCAATGCCCGCTGGATTTTCGCGAACTGCTTCACTCTCTCCACGACTGCCCCAGGGGGTCGAGTGCTTGACGACATAGAATAGCCACCACACCCCCCAGGCAGGTGAGATGTTTAAATAGGGCCGGTGGAAAGGCAACACACGCGAACACAAACACCACCTGTATAGTCTAGAGAAGCGTTTTGAGGCAAGTGCTGTTAGCGAGCATCACGCCCGGCCGCCTTTGTCTCCCCAGTGGCGATGTTTACACACCGCACCAGGTACCCATTTCAGGCTGAGTCGACCTAAGGGGAGGTCCAGGACCGGTTCAGATAATCGTCACTGGTGTTGGCCGTAAGCGGGAATCGAACTCGGGTCGCAGGGTTCGTAGCGCAGCGCGCTAACCGCTACACTACCGCTCCCCATGACTCTCCCATACACTCTCCCATACACACTCTCCCACTCCCCACGCACCCTCCCCACTTACTCTCCCACACACACACTCCCCCACACACACACTCTCCCACACACACACTCTCCCACACACACACACCCCCACACACACACTCCCCCACACACTCTCCCACACACACTCTCCCACACACACTCTCCCACTCACTCGCACCGACCCGGCAGCGCGAGCCGCAGTAATCGCCTCGAACGGAGTCGCTGTTCCCCTCGCGCGCCTCATTATTACCGCATGCAAATTTCACGACCCCCCCCCTCTCTCTCCCGTCACCCCCTCCCCTCTACCCCCCCCCCCCCCCCCACCACCACCACATCTCGCACACACCCCCCCCCACCCTTCATCTTCCACCCGACTCTTCTGGGTTGTAATATTAACGTACATCTCATTTTCGGGCGTTTGAAATGTTCGTTCAAAGACCGCCCAGCGATGGAAATGGCCATGCGTCGTTTCACACCGGCATCTAATTAAGTGCGGCTGATGCCGGTTCGTGCGAGAGGCCCCCCAACTTATAGCCCCCCCCCCACGCCACCACGGCCAGCATACCCTCCCCTCCATCCCCAGCACCCTTCCCGCCTGCCTCGCGGTCGATGCGATGGGGGGCGATGCCCGCGTCTCTTGCGCGCATTACCTGACTCGCCGATCCATTCCTTCACTTCACACGGCTCGATATTTCACTTCACGCGGGCCCGTGGACTTCGCTTCGCAATAACCCCGCTCACACGAAGCCCCGTAACATATTTATCCGTCGCTGCAATCATCTTAGCCGCACTAATCCGGGGCCTATTTTCGACCTGGCCCACAACATTGTGATGTTTACCTTTAGGACGAAACTAGTGTGGGCACAAGACCGGTTCAGACCACTTGGCACTGATGCTACTCTATCGCTCTTCCCCATGACGCTACGTACAGATGATATACGTCGATTCCCCATACAGCCTTAACAAACTTTTTGAGCAAGTGCTGTTAGCGAGCACCTATGAAGGTCAGCACGGCACACGAGGGGGTGGGTGGCCAACAGGCCAACACCACTCCCGGCCGCCTTTGTCTCTCCCCAGAAGCGACGTTTGCAGCGTCGTACCAGTAACTCACTTGAGGCTGAGTCTATCTAGGGGAGGCCCAGGACCGGTTCAGATGATCGTCGAACTCTGGTCGCTGGGTCCGTTGCGCAGCGCGCTAACCACTACACTACCGCTCCCCCCACAGATACGGAGGAGCGGCGCTCACAACAACGAGCGGAGCGCTGGGTGGCTAAGGCACAGCAGGTTGGCACAGTAGGGGGCACAGGTGGTGAATCAGCCAGTCATCTCAGTCATCTCAGTCAGTCGACCCGTGGCACCTGGGTCTGCCCCGTGACCTCCTGCCAGCGGGCGTTCGACACTTCACGCGGCCTCAAGGTGCACATGGCCTGGCACAAGCGTCGTGGTGACGTCACCGCCACTTAGTGGCGAATGGCGGTTGTTGTTGTTGT